CAGATGCCAGCCTCTTTGTGATAGGTATAATCATTGTGATATAGACAACCTACATTACAATTGTTATGTTAACAATTTTAGATGAGCTGTATATATTTTGTGTCTCCATTTAGACTGGAAATGCCTCTAAAGTAGGAACCAAATCATTTGCTTTGACTTTCCACAGTCCAAAACAGCATCGTGCATACCTTTGTACTTAAAAAAAACAAATATAAAATACTTCTCAAGCCTTCATTTGTATATCCTATAGAAATAGGGAATAGGAAAAATACATTTCTTTCCACTAAATCTTTAAAGGGCCTTCAAGGAGCTTTACTGGCTACTTGTTATGCGACCAAATAGAGAAAATTCCATGGATATTGAATAATACACAAATGTGAACAAACTACTTTGTATTTTACTTCTTCACACAATTCACTTTTTTAGCCAGAAAATCACCTTGAAAAAATAAGAATTACACCAACATAAGTAGCTTCTTTTGCTGAGATTATTCTCTTTTGGAAGAGCAAGTTGAAGAGGAAATTCTAGGCACCAAATAATCGTAACTTATACATCAAGCTTTTCAAAAGTCTTTCTTGAATCTGATCTCATTTGAGTCCCAGGGCTACTTGTGGTATGAATATTATCATTGTCCCAGTTTTATAGATGTGAAAATGTAAGTTTATAGAAGTTAAATAACACATCCAAATTCAAGCTAGTAAATGAAGGCATCAAGAAATTGAAAGTAGTTTTGGGTGATTCCAAAACCCTTATTCCTTCTTGTGTGTTGCAGCCTAGTTGTGTCCATACTGACTTGCTGATGCACCTTGGGAGCCTCATGTTATTGTGCACTATGAAATGAATTTATTGACTTGCTATTTTCACCTATTATCAACAAGGTACAGAATGTGTTATTGCCTCACAATTATCCAGAGATTCCCCCTGATGGGAAGTCTGATAAGCCAGCAGGGACCTTGTTAGCCGTCATGGATGCCAGAACGGCTCCCAGTTCTTTGTAAAGGACAGTGGCAGTTGCCCAAATTACTCTGTCTTATGCCTTCAAGTCTGATGCTCCATTCCTTTGGGAAATTAATAAACAGTTTCAGGCTAGTGATAACAGTCCCTTGAAATAGGGAACTTCAACTTGTCAATCCATGTCTTTTTCTCTTTTATTTCTTCCTCAATAGTACTCTAGAGGGTTTTCTGTTTGTTTGTTTGTTGTTTTTAATGCTGATGGCTATCCCTATCCTCTGGAGATTCAGTTTTAATTGGTATAGAATGGGGCTCAGGCACTTGATGTTTTAAAATACCCTAGGTGATTTTAATGTGCAGCCAGGGTTGAAATTCACTGATTTAAGCTAAATTGCTCTCTATCCTCTAAACTTGAGTTCACACTTTAAAAACTTTACCTCTGTATATATTATTTCCTTTACTTGAAATTTTCTTCATCTATATTCTGATAGCCCAAAAATGTGTCTGTCTTTAAAATCCCACATAACATGCTTCTGCCTTGATATATTTCCATACTGATAAGTGCTCTGATGTGTACCTTTGAAAATTATGTTTAAAAAATTGAGCAACTACTATTTGGCAGACACTGGATGGGTATTTTCACATGTATCATCCTATTTAATTCAGTTTGCTCCTTTCTAGGGAGCTGGGGTATACATGTTGCACTTTATCATGCCTGTCAGATTTTGAAAAACAGTATGTAGTTAAATCTTTAGAGCAGAGTTTATTTGATTTAATTTAATTTTATGTGCTTCTCTAACCTATTTTAATATTTCATTGAGTTTCAGAAATATAACTGGGAGAAAAGAAACCAAAAAAAATTTAACTACTGATGTAATAATCTTACTAATATTGATGAAAGTTTGTTAATTAAAAATAAATTCATATACCCATGGATGAATATTATTCATTTCTACAAATGGTAAAAGTTCAGCATAAATTTCTACTCAGTTTTAGAAAATAGATGAGAAACTTTGTTTCATAAATTAGATGTGAATGAAGATTTTTTGTAGTAATTTCACCTAATTACTTGAACTCCTTTTTATTTACATATGCCAAAAATGACATACTGATCGAGCATCAAAGTAATCTGATCCATCATCAGATAACTCAATCAAGAATTCTTTAATGAAAACCGTGTTCTAAATTATGAATTTATTTATAAACCACCTGACTTGCAAGACATTTGCTACCTATTTATTAAAGTCATACCTTTTAGCGAGAGTGGCACCAATATTTGGAATTCTCCATTAGTTTGGCACCTTGAAAATTTTTGCCTCTTCTGGGAATACACTGTGTTGAGAATGGATTCAGGATAGGTGAGAGGTATGCCCTCTGAGAAGTCAGAGAAGGGAGATCATGAAAAGGGGAAGACTAAGGAGAACCTTCAGAAACCTTCTCAGATTCATTTTAGAAAACTACACTTAGGAGGACAACCTGGAAATAAATTTCCTAAAACTCTGTGCTATGTCCCCTTTAGAGTCTTAGTGAACCTGCAGCAGTGTGTCTCTCCCAGTTTGGAGATAATGCTATAGAGAAAAGCTTTTTAGAGCTAAGCAGATCTGGGTGTACATTCTATGTTACTTACTGAAACTATACACTTCATCAGGTTATTTATCTTTTTTGAGCCTCATTTTCTTCAGTGGTAAGAGAGGAAATAATTAATGTCCATCTCAAGGATTCTGGTAAGGATTAATTCTGACAGTCAGTACAAAACACCTAGTGTTGCATCTGGAGCAAAATGAATGCTTCCTGAAGCTATCATTTCTCTGAGCTCATTGTGTTTGATACATGGGTGCTCAGATGAGCTACCAGCCAAGAGTATGGGGTGCTCCCGCTGCAGAAAGTCTTCCACTACAACTCCCTGCCATTGGGACCCATCCCAGCATCAAACACCTTTCCCCTTCCTGACGCCATTGCTTTACTGAAACCTGCCTCCTGCCCGCCCTCATCCAATATCAAGTGCTCCTGGGCAATTCTAGAAAGTAGGATTGGCATTCTAAGAGAGCTTTCAAGAGTTCATGCTCCTTTCCTCACTTCTTTTGCTAACTTGCCAGATGTTGCATCTAGGAAAGCCTCCAGTGATATGAGGAAGGACATCAGAATAAGCAGCACATGGGGCTTGTCAGAGTGCACTGTGACGGGGGCTCAGAAATATTCAAAGGTGCAGGGTGGACAGATGCCAGCCTCTTTGTGATAGGTATAATCATTGTGATATAGACAACCTACATTACAATTGTTATGTTAACAATTTTAGATGAGCTGTATATATTTTGTGTCTCCATTTAGACTGGAAATGCCTCTAAAGTAGGAACCAAATCATTTGCTTTGACTTTCCACAGTCCAAAACAGCATCGTGCATACCTTTGTACTTAAAAAAAACAAATATAAAATACTTCTCAAGCCTTCATTTGTATATCCTATAGAAATAGGGAATAGGAAAAATACATTTCTTTCCACAAAATCTTTAAAGGGCCTTCAAGGAGCTTCACTGGCTACTTGTTATGCGACCAAATAGAGAAAATTCCATGGATATTGAATAATACACAAATGTGAACAAACTACTTTGTATTTTACTTCTTCACACAATTCACTTTTTTAGCCAGAAAATCACCTTGAAAAAATAAGAATTACACCAACATAAGTAGCTTCTTTTGCTGAGATTATTCTCTTTTGGAAGAGCAAGTTGAAGAGGAAATTCTAGGCACCAAATAATCGTAACTTATACATCAAGCTTTTCAAAAGTCTTTCTTGAA